GTGGGTGACCCACGTAAGTGGATGCCTGAGTGCCAAGCCATTCCAAAGGAATCGTAGACGTGTAGTATACGCTTCCCTAATGTCCCTTCTTTGTTGTTGTGCTTCTCTGCTGGAAATGCTTGTGATCGGTGCCAGTCCAACGGGGTGACCTGACAACTTCGGCATTGTGCAAGGAATTGGTCTAGGTACTTCATGCACCCTTTGCTGTGGTCCGCAATCGTGTCTGCACCTAGTCCTGCGTACCTGCCCCTCCCCACTGCATAAGATTGCTGCTCCCAGGCGGCTCCTTCTGTCCCATCAGTCGCCGTCGGCGCGCGTCCCAACCTGGTACCTTCCGCCCACCCCATCCGTCGAAGCAGTTCCCTCCCCTTCTTGCATCGTCCCAGTGTCGTGTAGTGTGCAAGCTCATCTTCGCCCCCCCTCTTTCCTGCAGCTGCTACTCGCTTTTCTTCTAGTCGTCTGCTGAGCTCTGCTGGGTCCTGAAGATGGAGGGTGGGCTCGATCATCAACCATGTCATTTCGATCGGAATGCCCCATGGTGGCCAGGCCCGTCGTTTACTGGCTCGCTGGCAATACCTGCGCATCGCTCGCTCGTCGGCCTCGACCTGAAAAAGTAAATCGTGGTCGGTCGGCAATCGGTCGATGTGCTCCTGGACGAAAGCCTCGTGTTCTGCTCTCTCTGCCTTTCTATCGATAGGCCTTGCTCCTAATCCCCCTTCCAAAGCTGGATGGGCGAGCTCCTGATACCAGTAGTCACGAGGCCAGTGGGTTCGAGCTGATCGGTAGTACCTTTTCTTTGGCCCGCGTCCGTTCCTCTGGTACTGGATGCGTAGTCGGTGCATCTCGGCGAGGTTCCGTTTTTCGTAGGCCTCCCATATGCGTTCGACCAGGAGCGCCCGTCTTTGTTTCTCTACACCTTCTCGGGCCTGCTTCAGTGCCGCCGTGACTTCTTTCAGCTCGTTTTGTACCCAGTCGTAGTCGTCGGCACACTGTTCTGGTGTTAGGCTCTGTCGCAGTGTTCGTCGCTTCCTGAGGAGCTCGAGTCGGTATTGCTCGGCTCGCTTCGTAAGCTGGTCGATCTCGTCGGGTGTGCCACTTTTTCCGAAAGTCGTGAGCATGGCCGATCGTGCTGCTCCTCCCAAAAGGTCCCAGGTCTCGTCTGGCGTCGCCGCCCCCAGTGCTCTCTCCCACTGCTCCCCACCCACCTCCTCCACCTCCTTGTCGAGTTCGGTGAGCAGCATCTCCCTCTTGTGGCCGCTGCGCAGACACTCCATGAGTCCGTCCCTGCACAGCCCCTGTTGTAGGCGGGCGCGCGTGGGGAAGGAGGTGGTGGAAGTAGAGGCGAGGAGGGTGAGGCCGATGGGGAGGTGGTCCCTGTGCCCTCGTACTTTTACCTTTTGGAGCCTTTTGCCTGACCGATGGAGGACCTCACACTTTTTTACGAGTCCCAAGGCCCCTGTAGGTACTACAATGTGGTCAATACAACTGTTGTAACCTGAATGTCCGTAGAATGTAGGTTCGGCGATGTGATAAGTGGTGGCTATACTGAGGTCGCTGGTCTGACACAGGGTCCTAAGGCTCGTGCCGTTGGAGTTCTCTATTTTGGGTTCCCTGTCTCCTACCGTCGGTCCTCTACTCCGCACAATAGTCCCGTCGGTGTCTCGCTGGCAACCAAAGTCGCTGTTCACATCCCCGCCCATCACTATCGTCGTACGGCTGCCTACTCGGTCGACACACTGCTCCAACCATTTGGTTATCGCTTCTGCTAATGGCGCGTAGTACGAAAGGTGTGTTGGGGCGTAGTAGTAAACAAAAAATGCATTGTCGTGTTGGCCAGTCGAGAGGCGAATTCCTGCAACCCGTCCCTGGAGGCTGATTGGTGGGATGTAGGTCTCTCGTAAGCTGCGCTCATCAATTCTCTGACTGATGAGGATCGTTAAGCCACAGCTTTTGTTGATCCACTTCCATTTGCGAGCACCAAATTGTAAGACGTAGTGATTAGGGAGGTAGTGTCTCTGTACTGCTTCTGCTCCCGCCCACCTGATGTGCCGCTGAGGAGAATGACGTCCCAACTGTGTAGTTCCGCGCTGATGTCCTCAAGTCGTTCTATGCTCGTTGCCCCTTGTGGGTTGTAGTAGCAGATTCTCATGCCTAGGCGCACGGGCTCGCCATGCGGGCCCCCCAGTCTCCCCTGCCCCCGAGGCCTGCGGGTGTGGGCGCAGAATCGCTGGTGTACGATTGTACTTGAGGTGCGGTCGGTCGACTCTTGGGCACCTCAAACAGCGACTAGGAGGAGGAGGAGGAGGAGGAGGAGGAGGAGGAGGAGGAGGAGGAGGAGGAGGAGGAGGAGGAGCGCCTCAGGCGAGCGACGCCGCGCGACGCTGCTCATCTGCGGGGAGCCGACGCGCCGACTCCCGCATATTCGCGCGGACGTCGCGCCGAAGGCTTGTTTCGACGTCTCGACGGGCCGCGGGCCATGGACCCCGAGCGGGCATCCAGAGAACAGGCGTTGACGCCCGTCCACCGCGGCTCGGGGACGCACCGGCCCGGGTCGATGCAGACCCGGGGGTCCGTGAAGGGGCCTCGGGACCCACAAATAAGTAGACACAAAGAAACATATTCCCCTGTATTTCCCCACGTCTTCCGGGTTTTTATCTTCCCCCCACTTCCCACATTTTCCAACACATTCCAGGGAATCGACGATTTATTGTGCCTGTGTGTTTCTGCTCCCTCCTGAGTTGACGCCCGTCCACCGCGACTCGGGGACGCACCGACCCGGGTCGATGCAGACCCGGGTCAGTCCGGCTTTCCAGGATCCTGCAGGCTCCTGCGCGCCAGCGCCGGTCAATGCAGCCCTGGCTTTGCAAGATTGGCGGCAGGGGGAGGGGGGAAGGCTTCTCAGGAGGAGGTGGCTTCGTCAAGGCGCGGGCCTTACATCTATAGATAGGGTCCGCGCCTTCTAAGAAGCAGCAGCGCTTGTAGGAAGCCTTCCCCCATCCCCCTCTTCCCCTCTGCGCGTGGCCGACAGATCCTGCAAGATCTGGCTTTCTGGCTGACCCCCGACATCATGTTTCATAACATCGACCCCCAGAGGCCTCGACCCATTGCCTGGGACCCGTCTCTCATCCCGAGTCGTTTTCCACGGTCCCGAGAGCCTGTACAAGCTCTCAGAGGCCGAAATGAGTGCAAAACCTCCCGTCGCGATTTCATGACGCGAGGGGGTCTGGGCTTGCAAGATCCTGCAAGATCCGGCGCTCTGGCTTGACCCTCGTCCCTACCAGCTCGGGCGAAACCCCGTGCGATCCTGGGGAAACCCGAGGAGGTACCGATGCCGCTACTCCCTGGACCTCTGCTGGGGTTCGCTCTGACAAGACTTCGAGGCGAACCCAGCGGCGGCGGCGAGGGCCTCCTGGAGGCCCAGGGCTGCGAAAACGAGGCAAGGGTGGCGGCCTGGCTGACCCCCGTGTGCACTGACCCCCCGTCTCCACTCAGGCGCCATCAGATCCACCCCCCCCTAGTCATCACCCCCCTCTTGACCGCCCCCCGTCTCTACCAGCGGATGCGGATGCGGATGCAGCGATGCGCGGGTCGCCCGCGCCCGGGCCCCTTGAGGGCGGTCGGGCTCGCTGAGACACACGCGTGACACGGGCAGTCCAGGAGGCACGCGCGATGTGAAACATGATGGGCAAATGCACAACCATTCCCAGACACGCGACGTCCTGATTTTTTCAGGACGGCGCCCATGAAGTCTGGAACCTCTCCCCGGAGCCTGTTTTTCATCCTGAGTCGTCTTTTGACGGTCCCGGGGCCAGCGAGGGCTCCCAGGGGTTGAACATAGCGACAACCCGCCCGCCTAATCTTTTAACGACGCGATCATGTCTGGGTTCAGTGCGCAACCAGTCAAAGCCCGTCTCTACCAGCTCGGGCGAAACTCCCCCGTTTGCACCGACCTCGGGTGTTGGCAGAACTGGGTTTAGTGGAACCTGGTTTAGTGATGTGTATGGGGGGGCGCCCCCACCGCCCCGTTCCGCTAACTGGAACTGCCGTCACCTGAAAAACACCAGTTACGGCGAACCTGGTTTAGTGAATCTGGCCCATGGAGGGGCCCAAAGGCCCTACCACTAACCGGGTCCCCTTACCCGGGGTCCTGGCTATACCCGACGACCCCCCGTCTCCACCAGCTCGGGCGAGACCCCTCGCGGCGGTCCGCCGGCGGCCAGGGGGGGGGGGCGCTGGCACGAGCAGCGCCCGACGTCGCTGCGAAGCAGAGATGCGCGCGCGCGCAACCCGCTCCGCTGCGCCCCCCCCGTCTCCCCCAGGCGCCCTCGAGCAGGGCTGGACCTAAACGTTGTTCTTCGTTTTGTTCTCGTTCTGCTCTACCGGTTTTTCTGTACCTCCCTGCCAGAGCGAAAAACAGAACACAGCCACAGTCCAGCAAAACAGCAAGTAGGTCCAGCCCTGCCCTTGAAGAAATGACGACAGGAGGTTCTTCGCTGTTTTCGGCCTCTGGGAGCCATTGCCAAGGGCATCGGGGCCGCCACAAGAACGGCTCGGGATGAAAAACCGGTCCCGGAGAGTGGGCCGATACCTCTGCGCCCCCGCAGCCCCCCCCCAACATCGGGAGTTGCTGCAGGTGTCCCTGGCCCAAGGTGCCCCCAGCCTTGCGATCAATTTTGGAGCTCCTGGGGCCCTCGTGGCCTCGTGAGCGGTGCTCTGGAGGCCGTGGGGGTCTCTTTGGAAATCCAAGGGCACCTCGGGCCAGGGGCACTTCTAGCAACACCCCCCAGCGCCACCCTTCCCAGCCCCTCCTCCTTCGGGGCAGAGCAGCCGACGGAGGTGCAGCAACGGACGGGCGCGAGGGAGAGAGCGAGGGAGACGGAGAGGGGAGGAGAGGCCAAGGTAAAGGGGAGGAATGCTCGAGGGGGGGAACCAGGGGGGGCGGGGGGAAGGCAAGCAGAAGACACATCGATATTCCTGGCTACCCCTCCTGGGCCGCGCACCTAGGAGGTCGTCGTCATCATCTGCAGGCCCAGCTGGCATGCTGAACAAACCTGCCCACGCCGAGGACCCGCCGACGATCGACGACCGACGACGAGGCAAAGGAACACCAGCTGGGAGCTGGCGCTCAGAAAGCAAGGTGGCCAAACGCATGATTTGGGCTGCCGACTCTCTCTCTCTCTTGTTTTTTTTGTTCGCTCTCTCTCTCTCTCTCTCTCCCCCCCTCTTTCCCTCTCTCTCTGTCTCTGTCTCTGTCTCTGTCTGTCTCTCTCTCTCTCTCTCCCTTCACATGTCTTTATAGTGCCTGTCTGTCTGTCTGTTTGTTTGTTTGTTTGTTTGTTTGTATGTATGTGCCTGCCTCTCTCTCTCTCTGTGTCTCTCTCTCTATATATATGCCTGTCTCTCTCTCTGTTTATCTACCCCTTTCCCGAGTTGTATGTGATGTGATGTTTCCCCGACCCATATCTACACCCCCCCCTCTGAACAGGTATGCGCCAACACACACACACATATATATATATATATGTATGTATGCATGTGGATGTACATATGCAAGGACTGTTGAGTGTTCATGTTGTGTGTGTGTTGTGTCTCTCCCTCTCTCGCTCTCTCTCGCGCCCTCTCTCTCTCCCTCTCTTTTTCTATATACGTAAGTTTTTGTGTGCACATATGTTTCGAAATATATACACACACGCGCCACCGTGCCCAGGAGTGTCCTCAAGTCCCTTGTTGGCTGCCCTGAGGCCTCAGTCCTCAGCCCCGAAGATTTTCCAAAGGGGCCCAGACTCCAGATTGGCAGATCTCCGGGGGCGCGCCGCGTGGGCCCCGGGGCTCCCGGCGTCTCGTCGCACGACCTCGTCGGGCCCAAGCGGGCCCCAAGACGCGGCGCGAGAGGGCCTCGAATCGCCGACCAACGGGCCAAAGACGCCCAAGATGGCCTCCAGTCGGCCGACACAGCGCCCCAGACCAGACGTCTCAAGAGGCCTCCGGGAGCCGAGGGCCAAGGAAGCCCCGCAAAAGCACGAACGGTTGATTTGCCTGCGGTTTTCCGAAGTTTTGGGTTTTCTCGCATGTTCGACTTCTCGACGCTCCAAGACGCCCACGGGGCCCCCAAGAGAGCTCCAAGAGGGGGCCCGGACGGGGGACCCGAACGGGCATGTCGAACCCTGAGCCCCGCAAGGCCTTCAGGAGGCCCCCCCCAGGAGGCCCCAGGAGGCCCTCAAAGGCCTCCAGGAGGCAGACTGTTCGACACGTGTCCCAACGGCATGCAGCATGCACGAATGCTCGACGCTGAGAACCGCGACGCACTGCTAACATCAGAAAGCCGTAATCCCAGCCGGCCCGCGCCTGCATCATGTTGATTGCCTCTCCAGGTGCCAACATATCAAGAACAGCAGCGTGCACCAGGAGATGATCAGATATGGGCCGCCGTCGCGCTATCTATAAAGAGCAGCTAAAACGACGCAGCGGACCGACACGCACACCAGCACCGAAGCGAGTGGACTTGGCAGTGGACTCGGCAGCGCCACCATGTCAAGAAAGCTTGTGGAGTCATGGGTAATCAATAAATTCGGAGCGAAACTGTTCTATGCATACGCAGTCTGTATATCGCGCAGAGAAAACAACTGCGGGAAACGATTTCCAATTACGAAACTCTTGATGTCGTTCTTTTCTGGAGCCATCCGCAACTGGTCATAGACCCACCCATGGTTGACCCGATGGCGCCCCACACCGTCATTCACAGCAGCGCAGACAATTGGGGTCGTACGGCGAGGCGCAGGCGAAAGCCCGAGCGCTGCACTCCAGAAGACGAGAACAGGTGGCAGGACGAGGAGGAGGAGGAGGAGGAGGAGGAGGAGGAGGAGGAGGAGGAGGAGGAGGAGGAGGAGGACGACGGGGCGAGGAGGGCGCAAGAAATACGAGGAAGAGAGTGCCAGCTCGCGCTAGACCGCGCGCTGGCGCCAGGACGAGGTCCGGCCCGAAGCCCTCCCAGCCCCCCCCGCCCTTGGGCATGATCGACAGGCCCATCGGCTCGGCGGCGGCGCCGAGGTCCTCGTCGTCGCTGTCGCTGCCGCCCCCGGGCGCCCGCTGCTCGGCCTTGTCCTGCAGGCGGGAGCCCAGGAGGAGGAGGAGGAAGAGGAGGAGGAGGAGGAAGAGGAGGAGCAGGAGGAGGAGGAGGAGCAGGAGCAGGAGGAGGAGGAGGAGGAGGAGGAGGAGGAGGAGGAGGAGTGGGGGGGAGGAGGAGGAGGAGTTACGGAGTTACGGGTATCGCGACCGTCTCGGTTACGATTAAGCTTCGCCCGCCCAAAGGAACTCGGAGAGATTGCGAAGCAATGCGTACATGGGCACCCCACCCCCTGACCACGACGGGGGCCGCGATGACCAGGAAGCCCCGCACCAGGACAGAGTAGCCGTTCACCATATTGCGCCAGACTCTCATGTCCCTCCAGCTGTCAACGTCCAGGGGCGAGATGAGAAGCCCGAAAACAAAGTGAATTGAAACCGCAAGAGCGCCTCTGATATCAAACAAACAGCGAATATAGTCCCACAAACAAGAACAAACAATAACATATGCCTTGATTGCCCCGTGGGCCTGGGCCTGGCTCAGCCGAACTATACCCAAGCCCCCTTCGATGCCGTGAAGAAGAGCCCGACTCTGGCAGTTGCCCGAACAAAATGCCCGAGCGAAAAAAAAGTCCACCCTTCTCCTCCAGCAACGCGACGACCCAGAAGAGGAGGCCGCGCACACGAAGGTGAAAGCGTTGCCGAAAGACTTCAACTCTGCTTGCAGTCAGCCGATCCCGATCTCCCACGTAGGGCATCAGCGTCTCGGAGGAGCCTCGCACACTCGGTGCGAATTGCCCATCGCTCGGCATCCGACTGGGCAAGGGTAGCCACCGCCGCCGCCGTCCCGAACTCTTGCAATAGCGCACCCACGTCCGCGACAGCACCTCCAGCGCAAGCATCCGTGAATGGGGGCACCGAAGAGAGGGACGAAGCCGCGCCCCTCCGCCAGGGGGACGAACCCACGCCTGCGCCGCCCCCTTGTGCCTCACGACCCGCCTGACCGCCAGGGACTTCAGCGTCAGGCCGCACTGCTGGCTCCGCAGCCGCCTCCACCGCGTCTGGGGCAGATACCCCCCGCAGGGGCCCCGCGGCAGCCACGACACCAAGATGCGCGGCGGCGCCAGTCACACGGCCAACCGGAGAATCACCGCCCCCAGGGAGACCAGCGACGGCTGGAGCAGTAGCATGAACTCCAGGAAGGCGATCATCGGCATGGCCGTCGACACCAGCAGCATGAACTGAACCTCCACCCACGACTCCGCCTTTCGGGGCTGTCGCAGGCGGCGCTGCCGACGCATCCTCGGCTCCAAGCTGCTCCTGCTCGGCGTCGGGGTCGATCGCATCGGCCCCAGCCTGCGCCGCACGGCTGCGGGGCCGTGTCTGGCTAGCCGCGGGGCGTGCGTTGAACTAGAAACAGACCTCCGCGCGGCCGTCGGAGAAGCGGTGGCCGCGGTCCACCACGACAGCGTGTCCAGCCTGCTCCTCGAGGGCCGACGCGGCGCTGAGAAGCACGGCCCGCGCCGTGGGCGACGTACGCGGCCGCGCTGGGTCGAGGACCACCTTGACCTTACCGCGACCCTCGAAGGCGGCGGCTCCGAAGGTGAGGTGCGCGGCGACTCCAGCGACGATCTGATCGCGCAGCCAACGGAGGCGCGCATGGACCACCATGGCCCGAGGGAAACGCAAGGGCGCTGAGGAAGTAACGGAACAAGCAAGGGTTCGAGCGAAAGGTCACTGGAGGAGGAGGAGGAGGAGGAGGAGGAGGAGGAGGAGGAAGAGGAGGAGGAGGAGGGGGGAGGAGGGGAGGAGCCCTGATCAACCAGCACCGAGAGGAGTAGAGGAGCAAAAAGCAGATAAACATAAGCTTTTGCCGCTACGCGCGGATTTCTTGGATCCGCGCTGGACCCCCCTCTCTGGCGCGCGGAGCGCGCCAGGGGCGGCGCCGGAGGCGCCGCCAAGGGGGCCCCAGCGCGGATCCAAGAAATCCGCGCGGAGCGCCAAAAGTTTATGTTTATGCCGTTGTGTTTTCCTTTTTGGCGGCGCGCCAAGGGGGGAAATGAGAAGGAGAAGGCCTGCTCAGAAGCCTCAAAAGTCCCCTGGCCTTCTGAGAAGTTTTCTGAGCCTTCCCCGAAGACACAGAAGCTTCTCAGAAGGCGCGAGGGCTTCCGAGAAGCACCGCCGCCTTCTGACCAGGCCTTCTCCTGCTCACTTCCCCCCCCCTCGCTCGCCGCCGAGACAGATCGGCGATAGGCCCCCGATCGTGAATCCGCGCGTTCCTGTGCAGGCTGGGGCTATCGGGCCCCTATCCGCGATCAATGGGCGATTGGGTGTCGGTGCATCCCCCCATTGCTGGGCGCCCGAATTATACGGGGTAACTCGGGTCGGCGGTAACTCGGGACCAGGCCTTCTCCTTCTCATTTCCCCCCCTCGCTCGCCGCCGATCTTCGAAGGAGGCAAAAACAAAAAGGACCCCCTAAAATGCCCCCAAAATACAAAAAAATTGTCCAAAAGTCGTCCCCAGACTCTCTCTTGACCATCTTTCCAGCTGCGAGCAACCGGTTTCGCACCCGCTTCCTCTCCCAGCCCCCCTCTCTTCGTCCGCCGATCTTCGAGGCCATGAGGGTCTATACATCATCCTGGGGCCCAGGAGGGTCTATACGCCATCCTGGCCGAGGCCAGGAGGGTCTATACACCATCCTGGGGCCCAGGATGGCTCTGGCCTGGCACGGTGGTGGAGATCTTCGAAGGAGGCAGGATCCATCGGCACCGAGCGGGAAAGCATCGGCTCGGATCGCCGGCCGCGCCAGGCTGTCCGCCAGGAACGCCGCGCAAGCATGCGGGGCCGCACGGGGCCGCCGGAACAGATCCAGAAGGACAGAACCGCCAGGAGCATACACCTTCAAGGGTCCCAGCGCCGATCCAAGAACTCCTCCTCCTCCTCCTCCTCCTCTTCCTCCTCCTCCTGCTCCTCGTCCTCCTCTTTCGATGCAGATTCTTATCCGAGCAAGCGCCCGAAGAAGCCCCTTGGGCGCTCCTCTTCGCGCCCCCGGGGCTGCCGAGCCTTTCCCTCGAGCCACGGCGGCGTCGGCGCGCTCGGGCGAGCCGCGTCCTCCACCCCGTGCCCTTCTAGATCCGCCACCGTGCCGCTGGGCACGGAGTGGGCGTGTCCTCAGGTCCTGGGCCCAATGCTCTAAGCCTCAGTCCTCGTTCCTGGGGGGTCTGGGGTTCGGAGCCCCCCTCGGCCCAGCTCTCTTGGGGCTCGTCGCGGCTCTCCTGGGCTCCCCCGAGTGGTGGCGCGTGAAGTTTTCTGGCCCCAGAGGTCCGAACATCAGATAACTCCTCCCTGTGGCGCGATGCAGGAGTTCACACGGACGGAGGCGGGTCAAGGTGGAGCTCTCGCCTTGGCACCGCGCGTGCTCGTCCTGAACATCTTCAACAACTTTTTCAAAACGGAATATACGTCGTTTCCGAAATGGTACTCTCGCTCTAGCGCCGCGCAAATTCGTCTAAAAAGGTTGCAATCGCTCCACACATCAAACTTGGATGATCGCCTCAGCGACGCGCACACTCGTCGCACAATTCTGCAGCAGCTTCAAGGGTGGAGGGGGGTCGTTTTCAAAATTAGGTCATTGCCGTTGTGCTGCGTGCAATCGTCTGAAAAGCCTGTAGCAGTTAGGGATGGAGGACGCCTCGTTTTCAAAACGGGGTTTTCGCCTGAGCGCCGCGCACAGTCGCATGACACGCTGCAGCGACTTCACGGAGGGAAAGGATTCGTTTTCCAAACGCTGCTCGCGCCGTAACCACCCAAGTTCGTCTCACTTCCATGGGTGGGGTACGATCCCTTCTCAAAGCTGGTCTTCCGCATAGGACCCGTCAGCTTTGCTTGCCGCAAGCTTCCCAAGCTGTGTCAGCTGCACGGATGGGGGACGTCGCCGTCCCTGCTCTGCTGCCCAGAGCCAGGCTATCGCCTGAGATATGCCCAGGGGACCCGAGACCAAAGTGCAAGCTTGCGCAACGGTTGCAGCACTGGGGGGGGGCGTGTGTTTTCCCAAAGCACGGGAGCATCGCTGGACACGTTGGTCTCTATGATCCTTCTTCGCATCCCACATCACTTGCCCAAGAGGGTGCAAGGCAGTCCGTGTCCAGAGTGGGGCTCTCGCCTTCATGGTAGTCCGAAGGGCGCTATTCGTTCAAGGGGGCGAGCATCAGGGTTAAAAGGAAGGCTTGGAAAGACGCACGAGCATGGGGTTGGGATGGGAGGATGTGTTGCAGCATCGCTGACGCCTCGCCTCGCAGATTCACTGCGGCCTTCCTCCTCCCTCTCCTCCTCCTCCTCCTCCTCCTCCTCGTCCTCCTCCTCCTCCTCCTCCTCCTCCTCCTCGTCGTCCTCCTCCTCCTCCTCCTCGTCCTCCTCCTCCTCCTCCTCCTCCTCATCCTCCTCCTCCTCCTCCTCCTCCTGGTCCTCCTCCTCCTCCTCCTCCTCTTCCTCCTCCTCCCCCTCCTCTTCGCCCATCCACCATGCAGTTTCCTTCTTTGCGGTGCCCTCCTGTTTCTCGCCGCGCCCCCAAAAGCGTGTCGGTCGGGCGGGCGAGGCGCTTCTCCTGAGACTCCCGCGCTGTCTAGTATCCGCCTCCGTGCCTTGGTGCACGCTGAGGCGCGTGGATGAGTGCAAGGGCTGGCTGGTGCCGTTTCTGTGTTCTAGCAATAGACGAAGAAAAAACATAAACATGAACTCTTGGCGGTCCGCGCGGATTTCTTGGATGCGCGCCGGACCCCCCTCCCTGGCGCGCGGAGCGCGCCAGGGGCGGCGCCCGAGGCGCCGCCGGGGGGGCCAGGCGTGGATCCAAAAAATCCGCGCAGAGAGCCAAAAAGTGTCTGTTAATGTTTTTTTTGCTTCGAAGTAAGGGCCCCCCCTACCAGCATGATCTGCATGCATCGCTGCCCCCCTCCCGAAGCCACAATCCATCGCACAGAAACATTGACGCGCGTCCCGAGCTTCCAGGACGGCCCATGAAGGCAACCAAGTATGCCTCGAAGACGGCCCCGAATGGCCCCAAGGTGGCCATAGATGGCCTCAAGGCGGCCCAAGATGCCTCCAAGAAGGCCCAAACGGGCCACGGGAGGAACTCCAACAGGGCACGATGAAGCCAACGTCATTGGTTTCCCTTGGTTTTTGAAGGCCCCAAGGGGCCCCCAAGACTGCATCACATGAGGCCAAGACAGCCCCAAAACGGCCCAAACAAGTTCCATGAGAGCTCCTCCGCTGCCTTCCGGGGCATGCAGTGGTAACCTAGCAAACAATAGAGCTCCACAAAGATGACGACATCACAAAGCTCCTACACATGGACCTCCTGCCGGCAACTCGGTCACGGCTCCACGTGGAGCATTGACAACATGTGCTCCTTTCGCTGCGTCCAGTGCAAGCCAGGCCTCAACATGTCCGTTCGAAGGAGCAGAAGAAGGATGAGAAAAAACACATAAACATAAACTTTTGGCGCTGCGCGCGGATTTCGTGGATCCGCGCTGGACCCCCCTCCCTGGCGCGCGGAGCGCGCCAGGGGCGGCGCCGGAGGCGACGCACGGGGTGCCCCAGCGCGGATTCAAGAATTCCGCGCCGAGCGCCAAAAGATTGTGCCTATGGCGTTTTTCCTTCTTCGAAAGACGAGGCATCGTCAGCACTCGATCTCCACCTCGAACTCCGGGTACGCCTGCCGACGGTCGTAGACCACAAACTCCCTGTGCACCTGCCTCCCGCCGTTGGCGACGCCCGCGTTGGCGATGACGGAGTCGCACAGGCGCCCGCCGCTCCCGGGGTCCTGCGAGGGGCACAGATAGGGCGGGGGGACGGGAATTTGGACGCCCGAAATGGGTACTGAAAGAATGGGCACGATGCCCAACAACAATTCCTGCTCATTTGCAACAGGATTCGCTGTCCACGCCGCCGCGGCCTGTGTCCATTCGAGACAGAAGGCCGCCTGCCCAACAGCGGCCGCTGTTGGCTTCGGACAACATTTGTTGTTGGGCATAGTGCCCATTCTTTCCGTGCCCATCTCGGGTGTCCAAAGGGAAGAAAGGTTGAACAGGGACCGACCGTCCCGCATTCCTATAGGGCCACCACGATATGTGCTAAGAACCCCAAAGTGTTCTAAGAACAGGAGCAATATTCTTAGAACGTAGAGCCCGACGTGTTAAGCAACCGGTCCCGGCCAGAAATGTTCTAAGAACATTTCGCGCAGACCACAAAAGGTTATTAGACTAGCCGGTAGGGAAGCCAGGACGCTTCGCCAGTGCTCGAAAAGTGTTGGGCACGTCGATCGGGAATCGGAGATACATCACCGATAGCCAGCGGCGGGCGAGGGGGGGAAGTGAGAAGGAGAAGGCCTGCTCAGAAGGTTCGAAGTCCCCTGGCCTTCCGAGAAGATTTCTGAGCCTTCCCCGAAGACACAGAAAACTTCTTAGAAGGCGCGAGGGCTTCTGAGAAGTCCCGCCGCCTTCTGAGAAGGCTTTCTCCTTCTCACTTCCCCCCCTCGGTCGCCGCCGAGACAGATCGGCGATAGGCCCCCGATCGTGAATCCGCGCGTTCCTGTGCATGCTGGGGCTATCGGGCCCCTATCAGCGATCAATGGGCGATTGGGTGTCGGTGCATCTTTCCCATTGTTGGGCGCCCGAATTATCCGGGGTAACTCGGGTCCGGGGTAACTCGGGCTTGGATTCCCGAAAACAACCCCGAATTAGCCCTGACCCGAGGTACCCCTGATGATTAGGGGCTCTGGACGACCGAATCATCCAGGGTAGCTTGGGCCCGGGGTAACTCGGGCTCGGAAGCCCGAAAAACGACCCCGATTTAGCCCTGACCCGACCTATCCCTGATGACTCGGGGCTCTGACATTGCCCATCCCCCCCTGCCCTTGCTCGGCGACTCCAAAAGGTGTGGTTTGCAAAGGGTGTGGTTTGCAACCGGCACCCTGGGGAACGTCCTGGGGCGCACCCTGGGGGGCGCGCGGGGACCTCGATATAGAGCTCTCCCGCGCCCCGAGGAGGCCCGACGAGGACAGTGTCATGCCCCCCAGGCCCCAACGGTACCGATCGCAAACCACACCCTGGCGCAACCAGATCCTTTTTGAGCAGGGACCGACCGTCCCGGCTTTCCTGTAGTCCTGGACCACGACACGTTCTTAGAACCCAAAAATGTTCTGAGAACAAAAACAAGGTTCTTAGAACATGAACCAGCGTGTTAAAACAAAGCAGTATCAACCAGACATGTTCTAAGAACATCCCCTGGAAACCACAAAAAGGCTCTTAGAACATTGCTTGGTAGGGCTACAGGCACGCCAGGACGCTTCGCCACTGCTCGAACACCCCGTGTAGTCGCCGACTTGCCCCCGAGGTCCGGCGGCGGCCGGCGCGCGCCTTTCATGCTGTCCCGCACGTAGCAGGACAGCCCGAGGAGCACGCGGACGTACAGGAGGTGGCGCCGGCCGTCGGCCGCGGGCGGGGCGTACTGCGCCGCCTCGTGGGCGCTTTTTTTTTTTATTCGGCGTGTCGGCATGGGGGCTTTGCTGTGGTCCTGCTCGTCAACATCTGTCCACACTGGGCGTTGCGGTGCTCCTGCTCGTCAACATGTGCCACGTGTGCGGAGCTGCACACTGTCCATGCCGCGCTTCCCTGTGGCTCTGCCGTGCTCCTGCTCGCAGCGCACACCGCCAGAGGCGGCGGAGAGTTTGAGAGATCCACCTACCCCAAGAGAGGGGGGGGTCTGGCTCCAGACCTCTGCTTAGAGTGCGACTGTTTGCAGGAGACCGGCCTCTGGGGGAGACTACACCCGCTCGAAACAGGCGCCCCAAACAGCCAAGACCTACTCTCGGCGGTGGACAAACCTCCCTTTAGTAACCTCCCCTTACTGAAAACGACCTAGGGCCGAAATCAGCGGACCTGGACCCGCAAAAATGACGGCCGCGATGCTTTCTCGCGAACCGAAAACAGCCAATTCCTTAATCGACGTGTCAGGGTAGGAGGTCTGTCCACCTCCGATACTCGTGAGGGGGGGGGGAGGGGCGGGGTGCGAGGACCCACGCGGATCGGCAAAACAATACATAGAAAAACGATGACCTTGCAGCTCTCGGAGGCGAAGTAGAGGCCGGCGCCGTGGAGCCCATCCAGGCTGCAGACGCGCTCGTCCAGGCCCCACTCCCGGATCGTGGGCAGCAGCTCGCTCCTCTCGGCCAGGATAGTAAGGATGTGCGGTAAGGATGCAAGGGCCTTGGAACGCCATGTTGACGTTTTCCGTGCGGAGCGCAGCAGAATGCCGAAGGATGCCGAATACTGGAGGGGCAAGGATGCAAGGGCAGCCTTGGAAAGTTGCCCCATCCTTACTATCATGGTTAACTGTAGGTCGGGCGTGTCCCCGTACAGGCGGACTTTGGACGGACAAAAATAAGAAATTGTCCTACATAGACTCTAAAAGAGCCCAAATATACTCAAAACATAGTCCAAAATGCACACAAACATCGCCCAAAAATGCTCAGAAGCTCGGCCCCAGACCAATTTTTTACTGTTTTTGAAAATACCTCCTGCAGAGGGGCAGGCCCGACTCAATCTGCGAGGCGGGAATTTATCCGTATCCACCGCCTGGGAACCGACGTCCTGGTGCCCCAGCGGGCGGTGGATATGGATATATTTCGGCCCCCGGGGGCCCGAATCTGTGTCCATATCCACCGCCTGCCGAGGCTCCGAAAACTGACCCTCCAGGCGGTGGTCATGCATAAATTCCCGCCTCGGACTAATCCTCGTGCCGTGCCAGAGGAAGACCTCGTTCGTCTCGGCGTCGGCCGTGTCCAAGTGGAGGATCGGAGGATCCACGGCTGGGCACGGCGAGCCGCGGTCGCGGAGCTGCCGCCGCATGGCCCGGGAGGTGGCCCCGAACTGCTGCCAGAGCAGCGGGTGCTCCAGGCGCCAGACCTTGACGCGCTTGATCTTGGCCAGCCAGAGGGAGCTGCCGTCTTGGCCTCTGCATCCTCTTAGGGGGCCACGTGCGAACCCTACCCCTGCCCCCCACGATTTCTGAGGGGGAGGGTGGGGTTCACTTCGCTCGGGAGCTTCCAAACGAAGTGAACCCCACCCTCCCCCTCAGAAATCGTGGGGGGTAGGGGTAGGGTTCGCATGTGGCCTCTGCATCCTCTGGCGTGCTTCGGGTGCTGGGTCCGGAGCAGCAGCTCCCGGATCCTGCCGTCCATCTCGGGGACCCGGACGCGGCGCTGCCGCAGCCCGTCGGCATCCTCTCCTCTGGCGTCGGGGCCGCCGCCGCCGCTCTGCCACCGCCCCTGCCACTGCCAGGAGGCCGGAGGCGGGCGGAACGCCTCCTCCAGGTCCACAAGGCGTTGCCTGACCCCCCTTCACCGGCTCCCGCCAGGGGCTGCTCTCCAGCTCCGCGAGATACCTTCGGACCCTCCTCAGCATGTCCTCGAGCGTCGTGTCGTCGGGTCTCGCCTCCAGCTCCTGCGAGAGGCACGCCTCCTGCGTCTGCAGCACCCTCTTGTACGCATCCGGCAGGCCCAGCTCCGCGTACTCGTCCAGCGTGTCGAAGAGCTTGGCAGACAGCCTGGCCTTTGCCTCCTGTCCCCCCCTGATCTGCTCCTCCAGGGCCCTCACGGCCGTCTCTCGCTTCTCCTTCTCCGACCTGGCCCTCTGGATGTCCCCCAGGTTCACGATCTCCGTCTTCGCGTCCCCCCTCCAGCGGCTGGAGGAGACCTGGAGAGATCAAAAGGTACCGACTCCGCGACTCCCCGGACCTCTCCCGGGGTGCGTTCTGACCAGAATTTCGAGGCGAATCCAGCGGTGGCGACGAGGGCCCCCCAGGAGGCCCCAAAAGAGGAAGACGGGCGGAGAGGGTAGCGGTACGGGTGCCTGTTCCTCCTCCGAAGGCCTGGTGGGAGCCGAAGCGGTGCCCGCACGTCGAGCACACGCCGTCCCGGTTCGCCCAGCAGTACACGGAGGACAGGAAGCTCAGCGTCGCCTCGTGGCAGTTGGAGTGGCAGTCCGGGTGCAGGCAGACGTAGCAGGGCCCGCCCTGCTTGTGCAGCCTCCACTCGATGGCCGTGCGCGTGACTGGGCTCACCTCCCCTGTGGAGAGGATGTCGGCCTTGATGGACCCTATGTCCGAGAGCCGCTTCTCCTCCTCTGCGTACCTCGCGTGGAGGTCGCCGAGGATGCCCTCAATCTCCAAGCGTTTCTCATGGATTTGCTTGAACTCCAGCGTGGGTACAGGTTCAAAATTCCTGATCTGCTCCATCAGCGCTGCCACGGTCTCCAGTGTCCTCTCGACCAGCACAAAGCTCTCCCTCACCAGATCGCCGCTGACATCCCCAGGAGCCAGCAAGGCCCGCTGGAGCTCGCACAGGGGGTTGTTGAGGCAGACAGAGGCGGGCGACGGGATGCCGAACTTCGCGAGCTCGCCCCTGCTGAAATTGAGTTGCCGCTCGTTCTCGGTGTTTGTGAACACCACAGCCACGTTGCTACTTAGCACGCCCTTGGGCAACACGGAAGTGAGCATAGTGAGCGCATAGCGAAGAGTGGCGCTGATGCGAGCCTCCCGGCCGTTTATCGTCAGCACCACGCAGTTGATGGCTCCAACGTTCTCCAAACAGGCCAAAATCTTCTTCACGTGCGTCTCGTCCGTGGCCCTGCCCCGCGTGTCACCGAAGCCGGGCGTGTCGATGACGGTCAGGCCAACGTGCCCCAACTTCAGGCGGTAGGCCCGGGCATCTGAGGTCTTGCTGGACATGGCGTCGTCGGGCGTTGCCTCCAGCGCACCGTCGGAGATCGCCTGCTCCGCAAACCTTCGGCGACCCCAGAGGGTGTGGCTTGCAAAGGGTGTGGTCTGCAGCCGGCACCCTGGGGAACGTCCTGGGGCGCACCCCGGGGGACGCGCGGGGACCTCGATGCAGAGCCCTCCCGCGCCCCGAGGAGGCCCGACGAGGACAGCGTCGCCCCCCAGACCCCAACGGTGCCGATCGCGAGCCACGCCCCGGCGCAGCCACACCCTTTGTCGCCGCCGAGACCTGACCAGGGCCTCTTTCGTCTCCGGACCTTCCGGGATGACGACGTCCAGGCCCGCCAGGAGATCGACCAGCGACGTCTTGCCGCAGCCCGTCTGGCCCACGAGCAGCATCACGTAGTCGATCAAGGGCGTGAGCAGCGGGCGCAGTGCCGTCGTCCGCCTCGCCCTGCGGGCCTCGGCGTCGCCGCCATCCTCGGCCCCCCTGCTCGGCGACGAGCGCCTCGCGCCCCCGTTGTCTGCCTCCCCCGCCTCCCGCTCCTCGGGCAGGTGCGCGTATGGCGACCTGGGCAGCGCTGGGCCGTGGCGGGAGCCGATGGCCCCGCAGCCCATCGCTGCGGGTTGCTCGTTTCGCAACGGAGACAAACGGCCTCGGAACGTGTCCGGCCCGACATGTTGACGCGAAGCTCCGACTGCCACTGCTTGATAAAATAGGCACAGATGTCCGATGAACTCATTGGTACTCATCCTCACCTCGATTTGTCGTCACTGGCACTTGCACAATACACTCAAGTCTTGCGTGGCCTGCTAGGGGCTCCGATGTGTAATTGTCCCGTGGAGGGGTCCTCCTACGGTTCCTTCTCATTCCTCCTCCTCCTCCTCCTCCTCCTCCTCCTCCTCCTCCTCCCCCTCTTTCCAAAACTAACGGCTGCCCCATCCGTGCCCCACTGCGTGTTCTTCCACTTCCCTGATCAAGGCAACTCGCCTGGGCAACTCGCCTAGGTATCACCTGGAAACGCTGGTTGGGATGCGCGAAGCGTCAAAAATCTTGATTGAACTTACCTCAGGACGTACCCAACCCATCTGCAACACGTGGCAACATGAACGGGCCCATCCAAGACGAACAAACATTGGGAGGGCCATGTGGTCGTTCGCTGAGACGGTGTGGGAACCGATTCGTGGCACGCCCAGTGGGACTCGTACGAGGCGACATCAACAGAGAGGGAGTGCACGGGGAACTGCTTAGAGGAGGAGGAGGAGGAGGAGGGGAAGGAGGAGGAGGAGGAGGAGGAGGAGGGAAGAGGAGGAGGAAGAGAAGGAGGAAGAGGAGGAGGAGGAGGAGGAGGAGGACGAGTGATCTGGCATTGGCGACGCGGGCACTTGCCTTTAACCGTCGCATCAGCGTCACAAGTGGAAAGGGTGGCATCTCGAGAAGTTGGTTCTCGCCTTACCTACCACCACGCACGTCCGCCTCAGAGCCCTGCCTCTGTCACAAGCATGGCGTGCGACTTCGTTCCCGCATGTGTCTGTAGCCTTCGAGCCGCGGGCGGTCGCCCCCAAATCCTGCAACGGCTTCAAGGATGGAGGGCGGCTCCTTTCCCACGTGGGACTCTCGGCCCGGCGCCGCGCCCAGAAGTCCGAAGGGCCTGCTGCAGTTCCAGGTGTAAAGAAGGGGGCGTCTTCAGCATCGGGCTCTCGCCTGTGCGCCGCCCGCGGCCGGCCTAGAAGTTTGCAGCGCCTTCCCGGTGTGGAAGGGGGGGGGGGGGGGGGGGGGCGTTCACACTGGGGCTCTCGCCATAGAGCTGCGCACAGCGCATGGGGTGCTGGCATCGGGGGGCGATTCGTGCTGTGAGCAGCAAGGCCTGTGGGGACTTGCGGGGGGAGGCTTGCATCGGGAAGACGTGTTGCAGCATCACTGGTCCACCCTGGGGGCACTGAACACCTCCTCCCCCCCTTCCTCCTCCTTCCCCCCTGTTCCTCCAATCCCCGCCCTTCCCTTCTCCTCCGCTCTCCTTTCTCCTCCTCCTCCTCCTCCTCCTCCTCACCCTCCTTCTCCTCGTCCTCCTCCACCGCCCCCCCGACCTCCTCCATTCCTTTCCTTGTGGATAGCTCCCCGCTGTCGCACCCCCCGGGCATGTCGGCAGGGCGGCGGGCCAAGCATGTCACCACCCTAGCGTCGCGCACACTCGTCTGAAACACTCGCGTCTGCTACAAAAGGTGGAGGGAAGCTCCTCTTCAATGTGCGTCTCTCGCTGTGGCGCCACGCGCAGTCGTCTTGGAAACTTGCAGCCGGTATAGGGATGCAGAGGGGTCATGTTCAGCATGTGGCTGTTCTCGCTGGGACCTCCTCATAGCTGATGGCCAGGAGGAGGAGGAAACGGAGGAGGAGGAGGAGGAGGAGAAGGAGGGCAGGAGGAGGAGGCGGAGGAGGAGGAGGCGGAGGAGGAGGGGGAGCAGGGGGAGGAGGAAGGAGGAGGAGGAGGAGGAGGAGGGGGAGGGGGAGGAGGAGGAGGGGGAGGAGGAGGAGGAGGAGGAGAGGAGGAGGAGGAGGAGGCGGAGGAGGAGGAGGATGAAGAGGAGGAGGAAGAGAAGGAGGAGGAGGAGGAGCAGGAGGGGCGGCCGCTTCTCTCCGAGCGGGGATCTCTCTGTGGACACCTCTCTTGGGACCGTAAGATCATACCCGTCGGAGGGCTGGACCCGAACGGTGCTGTTCGTCTTGCGCTGGCTTTGTTGGTGAGCGTTTTTGTGTTCGGCGTTTCGGCATTGGGCGGAATGGGGGGGGGAGGGGGGGGGTCTGGCGGGGTTGGCTCCGGACCTCTGCTTCATGCGACTGTTTGCAGCAGTGCGTCCTGCGGCGGAGACTCCCCCTGCTCGAAACAGGCGCCCCAAACAGCCAAGATCTACTCCATGGGGGGGGGGGGGCCCGTGCCGATCGGCAAAACAATGAAAAACAAACTATCGCTTGTTCGTTTTGCCCTACCTGTTTTCCTGTACCTCCCTGCCGAAACGAAAAACAAAGCACAGCCGAATCCAGCAACACAGCGTTCAGGTCCAGCCCTGCCTTGTCGTAGTCTTTCTACTCGCCAGAAGAATGTGAGCCAACTCCTTCCAAAAACGGCCCAGCCTGAATTGCAGACCCCTGCGGGCGTTGGTCTTTCAAAGCGGCGCCTCTTGTAGAAAACAGGGAAGCTTAAATGGACTGACCGAGAGGGGACTCGTGGCGGGTGTATTGCGACACCGCTGACGCATCTTGGGCTTACTCTGCTCCTCCTCCTCCTCCTCCTCCTCCTCCTGCCCTCTTCCTCCTCCTCCTCCCTGCTCCCCCTCCTCCTTCCCCTAGT